GGTGGATTTAGCAGGGCAGGTGTCTGCAAGGCCCAGTTCCTCTCCYTTAGTTCTGCCTGGTTCTAAAAGCCCCTATTTTGGGGAGCACATAAGCAGGAAGGGCAGATGCTGCACCTGGCTTAGGGATGCGGGTGGCCACAGGGCTGGATGGAGCCAGGAGTCTGTCTGTCCAGTAGGAGAGGACAAGCTCCAACTGGCTTAAAAGCTTCAAAGGTAGAAGCCAAGAAAAAGTGCCATGTCCTTGATATGGATCTGACTTTAATTAAAGCTGCATGAGCTTGATTGCTGCTTTGCCACACCATTCCTAYAAACACAGCCTCTCCTCCAGGCTGATTAGCCTGCTGTGGTCTGTGCTCCCGGCTTTTTACCTTAATTAAGGATTACTTGCCTACACTTGTCCTCACTCAGGCAGCTGAGCTTTGCTTTAACCCTGGAGAGGCCAGTTTGCCACACCTGAAAAGTGGTGGAGCAGAGCAATGTGCCAGGACAGGCACAAGCTGGGAGACATGTGGCTCTTTAGGACCAGGTACGGATGCCCTTAGCCACGTAACGGTGGCAATGGGACTTGTAGCAAAGGGAGGTGCCCTGCTCGTGCCGTGGCAGGGCTGCTGCAGTGAGGCTGTGCTCGGCAGATCCCCTCCCTCCCTGGCTCGGACAACCTCTGCCCAGCACTGGGATTGAGGCTCCGGATGCTCCCTGGGCTGGTAGCATCCCAGTGGGATGGGATGGGGATGGGCATGGCCTAAAGGTGCCTGGAAATCTAGAGGTCTCAGGCTGTCCTCTCTCCCCCTGCCCACAGGCAGAGTGGAACTTATCATGCTGTTTCCTACCCTCTCTTGGCCTCTTGCTCCACATGGGATGCGTTCATCTTATCTCCAAACTCAGACAGCATTCCAGCACCTGAGCCAGGTTAAATTAAAGCTAATAATCAGGCTAAATTAAATCTTTCCCCCTTGATCCAGGTCAAGGGCTCTTGACTTCCCTGCTTGCTGCGAGGAAGGTTTTGTGCAATCTCAGAAAAGATGCTGGCAGCAGGGCAGCCTCCCCTACACAMTCACAGCCCCTGCTTGGGCACCTTCTGCCATGTTCCTCTACCTGCGATTGCCTAATTCTTCCTTGCCACCTTTCCCAGGAAAGCAGGGAAGGGGTGGTGAACTAGTCCCCAAGCTAATGCAGCAGCAGGGCCCAGGCACAAAGCAAAATACTATTGAGAAGGGGAGTTAGACCCTGCATTTCTCAGCCTYGGCTCTCCAGGAGGTGACAGGCAGGCTGCTGCTCCCCAAGGTGCCTTCTTCTTAGAAATGGGTGGCTGAGGTAGCCACAGGCCCTTGGGCCAGGCTCAGGAGGGTGACTGCTGGTGACTTTTGCAGGGGGGAAGGACATGCGTTGGGGCCAGCTGCTGGTGTGGGCTAAAGAGGGGACCGGTAGCGCCAGCCAGGCTCACCTACCCTCTCCAGGGGGTCTCCACTKGGCTCTGCTGGGTTTGTGCTGCTCCTGGCACCGTTTCTCAGGCTGCCCACTGCATTCCCCGCTCTTCCCCCAAACAGCAGATGATAATTTACAGTCCGGCTAGGGATTTTAGCAGTTCTAACTTGCTCAATGCTTTGAGGTCAGCCTTAGAGGGGTAAGATGCTCACCTTGAGCCGTTGGAGGGCTTCAGCTCTTGTCTCTGTTGTCTTATTTTCACTTGGAAACTTTGGTCAGCGTGCTTTGAAGGCTRCAAACAGCTGAGCAGTCCACATGGTGGCTTGCCCAGCCAGGGTAGTTGTGTTAAGTCCCTGGGTGTTGGACRTATTGGAAACACAGGCATCTCCCCTGTGTCTGCAGAGCCTGATGCTGCTGGGAGGTGTCATATATATATATATATACATACAAATATATATATATATAAATATATATATATATGAAGAGACCAACATGCACGTGCCTCTGCTTTCCTGGCACATCAGACTTCTTGTATTTCTTGTATTTTTGTTCAGACAACCCCAAGTACAAATCCAGCAGCTCTGTTAAGAGGATTCCCATCTGCAGACACATGGGAGTGGGAGGCAGAAAGCCAGGGAAAGTCGCTATGAGGATGGCAGAGGCACCAATTCCTGGGCACAGAGTTGCTGGAGTGACAGACTACAGTGCTGCCTGGCTTTCTCTTGCATTCCTGGAAATGGGACTTTGTACAGACACTCTGCAAACAGCCAAGGCTGTACTGCAAACACGTAGCTCGTGTCAGGTCAACCTTGCCAAGCTACTGGGAGAGCAGAAGCAACGCGACAGGGATGATCTGGGCATGAAGCACAGCTAGCTATGGAGAGAACTGCTTAAAGGCTTTWGCTTTCTGTCTTCTGGTTCTTAACTCATGACTCGACATACCAGGTTGCCAATTGATTATTTTAATTCTTCTAATGACTGTCTGCTTATAAATTCTTTCTTCCCTTCACAGAGCTTTTAGAGATTGCTCTTTTTTCCCCCTCTCTTCTCCTACCTGCCCTATCTGCTCTATAGACTTCCTAGCCAAATCTCACGGCTCTTCCACCTAGTCACCCGATGGGCTCGGAGCAGCCGGGGCTGCTCYCCCGCTCCGGCTGGATGCAGTGCAGTAAGGAAGACATTTCCCTGTCAGTACCTTTCCGTGAGGAACGAGGTGAAATGCGGCTTGTTTGCCAAATGAGCAAAAGCAGCAGCGAGCGGGGTGGGAGGGCTGCTGCGGATGTGTCATGGGGCTTACGCAGCAGCTYGGAATATAATTACTGTGAGAGACTGGGACTTCGCTGCAAAGGCAAAGGGGGAGRAACTAATGGAGTTCTGCTGTCTCAACGGCCTGTTGACTCAATACCCTGTTGTTTAATTATTTCAGCTGCTGAAGAGCAAAAGGCAATCTATTCTTGATGTTCACGCCTACTGCCGCTTGCRTTTTGGACTTGGGTGAGCAGCTGCTTCAGATAAAGGCTTTTTGCTGAATGGCAGCTGGGTAACTTTATTATGAGGCTTTGTACAGGATTGTTGCTTCTGCTGTGAAGCATCCTCCCTGAAATGCAAGTTTTGAGCCTTTGCTTGCTTGGAGAGCTGCTTCTTGACCTGGCTGGTTTAGGTCGTGGTGTCTTACAGCCCAAGTCCTTCCACACGGGCTGCAGGGTTGTTAATGTTTACCGGTAAGTTCAGTGACGGGGGCTTCAGTGCCTCACTGCAGGGTCCTGTGCTGGAGACGACGGGGAAACCGAGTGCAGTTACAGGCTGAAATGGTGCAGCCCGAGCGGCGAGTGAGCTGGTGGCCCAGTGCCATAGCCCAAGGATGGCCACGTGCACCATCGGGTGGCAGGCGGGCCAGGAAAGCGGCAGCTGGCAGCACAGCACGAGGGAAGGAGGAGGCTGCACTGAGTCTGGCAACATAAACCACAGAAGGAAAACTGAAGGCTACTGAGTGTTTTCATTCATCATCACTGCAGATGACACATCTGTGTGTGGAAGCTGCCCCCACCTCACAGCTATGGGTTGCACAGGGAAGTCTGTGCCCCAGGGTGCAGCTGCAGGGGAAAAGCTGTGAGATGGGGCCAAAGACTCTAGGCTGGGMGCAGTAGAACCAAAAGGTGCCAGGGAACAGCTTCTGGCACACTGTGTAGTCACCCTTGTGACGGTTCCTTTTCCTCTTTCCTTCCCTTCTTTTTGAGACAGAGAAACTTGTGTTGAGCTTGGCAAGGTAATACAAACACCACTGACACACCAAAATAAAAAAGCACATTTTTCTCAGGACAGTGTCAAAGAGGTGGCATGCTGGGTAAATTGTGCTCTCCCCAGCATAGTACTCCAACCCTAAGGGCAGAAAATTGTCAACAATGATTCCTACATGTTGTATTTTCCCCCCTGTAAAAATCAGATCTCGTGTTCCCTGTCTTATCACTAAAGCAGCAGAAAAGCTTCCTCCAAGCCTGCTCTTCTTGGCTTGCCCAAGCCCCTTCCTGCTGCAAAGAGGCAAGGCAGGTGCTTGTGGCTGGCTAGAGCACTCCTACCTTTCTACTCCAGGTGTCGAAACAGGAGCAGTTAGGAAAAATTTTAACAACAGACACAACAAGAGCCTGAAGAACTCTGGGCAACAACTCTGTGCATGCATCTTAGCTCTGAGCCCAGCTGTGCTCCTGGTTTTGAGGAAACTTTCCAAGGTGCATCATGTCTGAAGGGGACACCTGCAACACAGCTCAGCAGCCTGCTTTGGGGGTGCCTCARTGGTCTCCCCAGCGAGTGAGCTTTGCAGTGCAGATGCAGTGGCAGCCAGGCCTAGATGGACACCAACACTAGGCTGTGAAGATGGGAAGATGCATCACAAGTAAAGGTTGGACATAAAGCTCACCTGCTTCTCAGACAGGACCATCCTGCATGCCCTCTGTCCTGCCTACTCCCTTCCCCAGCACCTCATCCCACTGCTTTTTCTTCACGGCACAGCCATTTTATTTGGCAACAGGCAAGGTGCAAGGGTTAGCCACCTTCTCCCCACTARATCCATACTTATGCTGGAGCGCAGACTGGCCAGGCTGCGTTTTCCTCTGCAAAACAGGTCTTCTGCCTGCTTGAAGGAACCCTGCAGAGGTCCTCCCCYCTCTATTTCTATGGTTTCACAGCAACTAGAGCTAAAAGTTTAGATTTCTTGGCTGTGGGAGTGGGATCACAGCAGTGAGTCAGCAGCTAAGTACCCCAATCTGCAAACAGACTAGTGCCTGACTTCAAACAACTTGGCACTGAAATAAGAAGTGACAATAGCAAGTTTGTGAGTAGCAGTTACCAAATCCAGTGCTGTGMCTGGGGCCTGGAACATAGCTGAAGTAGGAACGAGCTGAGGAGTCCAATAAAAAGGCTGACAGGATTTTACTGTAGTTCAAAATACAAAAAGGTGAGATTGTCTTCCAGCCCCTCAGTATCCTTCCCATCTATCACATCACAACGAAGCATCAGTACACACAGTGACAGCTCCAGCCAAACCACAGTGGTGTTGGTCCCAACCATGACTTCCCAACACCCATGGGCTGGCCTGTCTAAAACCAAGTCCGTTCCTGCTATCTCGGCTTTGAACATGCAGGTCAAGTTAATTCAGTTCCTGGACGAGTAAAGGATCAGTCGTTGGACAAAGTGGGGCCAACTGACCTGATGGTCTCTGAAGAATGTTCTGAACTGTGGCTGATGTAAGATTATCCTAAGAAAGGGTATTCMAAACTGATAAATCCTAAGCTGTGGGATGGGTAACACTATGAGCAGACCAAGTCATTTGAGTGCAGTACACMGATGGGAATGCACATTGCTACTAGCTGTATTCTTGTCATCCTGCTGCCAGCTAGGCCCTGCTTGAAAGATATCACAGACCCCTGCTCCATTACTAAGCTGCCCATTTCTTCATTAGTCATCTTGATGGAGCAGAAGCAAGAGAGGAGCAACAGGAGTCCCCTGCATCTTTCACAGCAGCATCACCTCGGGCTTCCAGTAGAGGTCATAGCTGAACCACAGAGCTGAACCCATCTCCAGGGCTGGCAAGAAACACGGCACGGGGGTCACCTCTGGGTTTGATGCTGCTAAGACAGCCATAAATCCACCTCAGCCCAAGAACATGGCCGGGTACAAAACACTTCCTGTAGCCACTGGTCCTCCAGCCTGAGCCCGCCAGTAACGAGAAACAGCAACTCAGTTTTGGGGGTGTTCTCTGCAAGATGCCTAAACCTGCATGAGGAGTAAACCACCCCCAAAACCACATCCTTGCATCAGGGTAGCGATTATGGGCTAACTGCCTGCCTGGGTACTTCTGACAAGTATTTCACTGTAGTATTTAAGCACTAACTTGAAGCACTGGTTTAAAAAGCAGGGTCAGTACAAGCTGTTAGTCTAGTGATTAAAAGCTTTCTACCCCATTCATTACCAGATAAATKCTCTCCCTCTGACTGTAGGCTCTGGAGAAGGTTAGAATTAAGTCTCTGACCTTGTTTCTAAGGGCAGTATGTTTGCTCAGCTGCCAGACAGCAGCATTCCGTGTGTGTTACCCCCGTCGCACAAAGTCTGCTGTTGTCCAAGGCTTCCAACCTCCACCCTGTGCAACTTCATACTGCAACGGTGGCAAAAGAAGCCTGTCCCAAGAAGATCTGTGAGGCGAGCCAGCTGCTGAGGGCACTAGCCAGGACTTGTGACCTCACATGGCACCTGCCACCACCTACACTGTGGAGAGCTTAGGAGAAGGTGAAGTGCCTTTGAAAAGGGCATCCTACTCAATGTCATCTGATAAAAAGGTTTTGGGGTTTTTTTCTTCTCTTCTTTCTTCAGAAGTCTCTCTCTTGTCCAAAGTTCACTGCCAGCCCATGACACAGCTGCACAGGGACAGTCTGAATACCACCCAGAAAGGGGGTCAAGCAGGCACGGCCAGTGGCAGCAACGTTCATCCAGCCAGCTAGGAAGCAAGCTCTAGCTTCCTCTCTGTCTCTCTAAGGCATCTCCTTTCGGATCAGGGAGCTAGCCTGGAAGCCTGTTACCTCTTCTCTATCTTCTGCATCTGCAGGCTGAGCGAGGTGAAGCTGGCCAGCAGGTCTGTAACCTCATCCACCTGCCAGGAGAACAAAGTTGGCTGTAAGGCAGGGCAAGCAGCTGTCCACCACGTAGCAGCATCCACGTAGCAGAGCACCAGGGTTCCTGGTAGCACTCGCAGCAAGCTTACACTAGGATAAGCTCCCTTCACTCTAGCATCAAATAGGAGCACATCCTGCTCAAGCAGGTCCTGATGTGAATGCAAGGAGAGCTTCCCTCCACATCCCTCAGAATATCAGTGCTTGGCCTCCACCTCATACAATCTAGATAGTCCTTAAAAYGGAAGCATGTTACTGCAAGAGCCAGAATTTATAACTGCTATCAAGGCTGCTTCCTCTAAACTTGTTTTTGAGGGCCAATCTTATGTAGTAAAAATCAAGCTAGATTCCAAAGGCCCCACAGCCCTGGGGCTGTGCTGCTTCCCAGCCTTAAAATGCTTGACCCTCWGCCCCTTAGATCTCCAGCTTTTCTGCGGAGCATGACAGCCACAGAGATGCTTTTTCCTAAAGGAGTACCACAAATTATCACAAAAATTGGCTGCTTTAGTGAACGTGAACAAGAATCCCTACCTCTTTCTTCACTATCACCTTGTTCAAGCAGTTAAATTCTCTTGAATGCAAAATCCACAACAGAAATGAGTCAGAGTAACTCAACGCTGCCTACCTGCTCTTTTGTGCTGGTCATCTGTAGCTTGGAGCAGAGGTCATCCAGCTGCTCCTTTTGCTCATGCCTCCCTAGGCGGTCCAGGTATTCCCTTAACATCTGGATAATCTGGAAGAAAAAAAGCATTAGAAAGCAATAGAGGCAACAACAGGCAGCTGCACCAGGACAGATTCTTCTGTGTGAGAAGCAGCTAAACTGCCAAGGTCTTGTGGTGTGGCAGAGCATGTAACCCTGGGAGAAGAGCATGTGCAGAGCAACTGCTCAGCACCACCAGCAATGGAGCCCAACGAGCCACCCAAGGTGCTCCTCAGCCACAGACAGTGGCTAGCACTAGCTGAGATCCGATGTTGGGCCAACAAACGGGTAAGAGAGACAAGCCCAGCTGGAGAAGCACAAGTTCTGCGATGGCCGTGAAAGCACCAAGCTTTTCTTCGTGGTCAGTTAGCTTTTGTCCCTCTGAGTAGCAGGGACTTCCTACTCCAYGAGGATCTGCTTCTGCACTATTGGATGGCTCCTACAGCTAGGCCCACATCTTGTGCATTTGTGAAACAGCACTGCAACTTGCAGTTGCGTATTAGAAAGAGCAGGGCAGTCTGCGCTGGCATTTGACAGCTGGAAATGCCCCACATGGCATGTGCCCCTACTGGAATACGTATGCCTTAACAACAGCTTCATGCTGAGGTCCCTCCAGCTGTCTGTCTTACATGGTGGTTGAAGAAACACTGTTCTGCAAAGCCTGAGAAGTAAGACATTCAGTGCATCCTTGGCCTACCACGGTCAAGAGAGGCCCTGCAAAAAATCAAGGCAGTAGTTGGAGAAAGGAGGGTCTCTGAAAACAGAAGGAAAAGRTCAAGCTTCTCCCAAAGCAGCTAAAAGCCTGGAGACGGGTATTCAAATAGCTGCCAAATTCAAAGCTGCCAAATGCTATTTGATCTCAGKGGTGCAAAAGTCTGTCAGGAGCTGCACCACCTAACCAGAACCTGTCAGTGTTTCCTTCACCTGTTTCACTTCAAGGCGCACGGCCTCCAGGCTGTGGGAGAGTCCTTCCTGCAGGATGTTGAGCTTCGACTTCGCCAGGTGCAGGGGGGTTCGGCCAGCTCGGTCCAAGGCATCAACTCTGGCCCCTGGGAAACGCATGAGCACATTTAGCATCCCTGGGATGATCCATAGGAGCGGGGGCAGGACATGSGGACAGGCTATTGTTGCTAAAGAGGAAACATTACCTCCGCGCAGCAGCGTGGTGATGACAGGAACGTGGTTCGTGCAGGCAGCTGGGGAGGGAAAACACAAGACACACAGCTCAGAGTAATGCAACCCCAAAAGAAAGGAGTTCCTGTTCAAAGGTGGAGRTTGCTACTTCCCAAAGGGCTCTTTGTCATGGAAAAAAAAGGAACAGCCTGTTAAGTTAAGGGTACAGTAAGTTACCCTTACAGTAAGGGTAAGTTAAGTTACAGTTAAGGGTAATCCTGTGGGCTAAAGTGTGAGTACCCTCTCTGGAAGAGGTCCCTTGTTCCTTGGGGCTTTCAGAGGGAAGGAAATGGATTTTCCCAACTCTGACTCTGAACTTTAGCAGAGCAAAGCTAATGAAATACAAAGACTCCCTCCTAAGTCTTTAGGGCTAGGGATTGGCTCCTGTGATGCACAGGAGAGGAGGATGCAGAGGAAGGAAACACCAGAGAGGGCAGCATTTGCCTTTCTGCGTGTGCAGCTCCCYTGCACGGCACTTACCCAAATGTAAGGGAGTGTTTCCCAGTCCATCTCTCTGGTTTGGGTCAGCCCCGTGGTCCAGAAGCAACTGCACTGGAAACAGCAACACGGAGCCATGTCAGTCCCTTCCCTTTGCCCAGCAGGTCATGGCCCATAAGCCTCAATCCCTGAGACCCACTAGTGGTGCGAGAAGCCCTGTTTGACCTGAGGGCACCACAGATCCACATGGCAGCCAGCAGGCTGCACCAGGGATGCTTCTATTCAGATCAACAGCTTCCTCCCAGACACAGAACTGAKGTCCCGACAACACATGCAGAAGAAACGCAACATGTCTGGGAAGCACCACTGCCCCGGGCTCCTCGAGTGGAGGAACTGGCACCGAGAACATCCTTCCTTCTGCACCAAGGCAGCCCTCGTGCTGGGGCTGCTCCTACCCCAGCAGGAGGACTTGACAAGTCCCGGAGCTAGGATTCAGCTGACAACCTCACCACAGAATACAAGGAATATGGCACCGTCCTGCGCTGAATCAAAATAGAGCAGCTGGTCTGAAATCTGCGCCGCAGACGAGTCAGCTCGCTCACCGATGTGATCGTTGCCGTTGCAGGAGGCGAAGTGCAGGGCTGTCCGGCCCTTGTCGTCCGCCGCGCAGGGGTCGGCCCCATCCTCCAGGAGTTGCTGCACTGACAGCACCAAGGGAAAGAAGAAAGCACGTAAGCCAGAGGAGCACCTGGTCAGAAAGGGGCAGCAAAAGCCCAGGGAAGAGCGCAAGGATGCGGGTGCCTCTCACAGCCTTTAGTCGCCTTCACGTCAGTCAGAATTAAAATTCTGCCCCTAACAGCCCCCACAGGCTTGCTCCCTGCTTCCGTGCGGCTCCCTCTGAGCTCAACATTACATGTGAAGGTGAACCTCTGGTGAGGAGCTCTGCACGTGACTCCATCCTGTGACAGCAAACGCCTCCTCCTGTCAGTTCTGAACGTGCCACTTCCTGGTTTCATCTGAAAGCCCAAGGCTTATTTTTCTCCCCTCTCTTCCTCTCACTAATGGTGACAACTCCTTGGGAAGCAGGCAGGTGAGTGCACTGACCTGCCAACAGCTGTACAAACATTCCCAAAGGGAGTGATCTAGCCAAGGGAACAGCCTGAATGGTCCTTTCTGGAAGCTCTGTCATCATTTTCTYGCATTTGTTCCCCCCAATCTCCCAACCAGCTACTTCAATACCACCACAAACCCTGCCTGTAATGAGAGCTGCATGTCCTTCTCAGATAAGAAAAACCTGCTCACGCAGAGGCAGAGGAACCAGTAAGGCTCTCCAGTGCTGGATACTGGATATTGGACAAGGGGTAATGGGTACAAGTTGAAACACAGGCAGTTCCATCTCCATGTGAGGAGGAACTTCTTTCCTGTGAGGGTGACAGAGCCCTGGCACAGGCTGCCCAGGGAGGCTGTGGAGTCTCCTTCCCTGGAGATCTTCCAAACCCACCTGGATGCCGCCCTGTGCCCCGTGCTCTGGGTGTCCCTGCTGGAGCAGGGGGTTGGACTAGTGATCTCTAGGGGTCCGTTCCAACCTCAACCACTCTGTGATATTGTAGAAACAAAGAGACTAGTAAGGTCCGAAAAGACTCTTACGTAACTGAGAGTAGCAGCTACARTGACATGCAGCAAGGGCAAGGATATGTGCTATTGCTCCTCGTGCTCTCAGGCTTTCCTGATGCAGTAACCATGCCCAAAGTAAAGCTCCTCCTGCTCCTGTGTGAGATTCACTGCGTCTTTACGAGCCTGGCTCCTTCAGGCTTCCGCCGGCCTCAGCGCCCGCTGCCGGGCCACGGATTCCCCGCACTTCCCTGCAGCGACAGCTCTCCAGGCGGGCAGGGCTGCAGGGAAGGGGCTTTGGGCTCCTGCTCCCGGGGGAAGGGGCTTTGGGCTCCCGCTCCCGCGGGGAAGGGGCTTTGGGCTCCCGCTCCCGCGGGGAAGGGGCTTTGGGCTCCCGCTCCCACAGGGACGGGCCTTTGGGCTCCCGCGGGGAACGGGCTCTGGGCTCCCGCTCCCGCGGGGAAGGGGCTTTGGGCTCCCGCTGCTGTGGGGAACGGGCTCTGGGCTCCCGCTCCCGCGGGGAAGGACCTTTGGGCTCTCAGCCCGCAATATCCCCGCACAAAGGCGGAGGCGCCGGGCGCTGGAGGCTGCAGCACCACCCAGCTGTCCCGACCCTCCAGCAGCTTCTAGAGCGAAACCGCTTCCCAGCGCCCTTCAGGGCCGCGTAGCCATCCGTGGGCAGAGCTCCGGGGCACGGAGCCCGGCCCGCAGCCCCCGCGGGCAGCCCAGCAGCAGCCGGCACCTCTGCCGGGCCTCGCTAGCCCGGCACAGGGCTGCAGGGCCGGCGCTTCTCCCTCTCCCGCGGGGACGGGAGCTCCGCTCGCTGCCCGCCGCCCCGGGGAGCACACGGGCCTTGCCAAGGGCCCGCGGGGCCTCACCTGTGTCCAGGTCGTTGCCGTTGGCGGCTTCGCGGAGCTTCTTCAGAGCTGTGGGGAGAGAGGGCGGTTACGGGCGGCCGGGGCCG